ACAAGAGAAGCTGGAGAGTGTCCAGGGAAGGGTCACAAAGATGATGAGGGGTCTGGAGCATCTCCTGATGAGGAGAGACTGCGGGACCTGGGCCTGTTTAGTCTTGGGGAGGGAAGACTGAGAGGGGATGTCACCAATGCACATAATTATCTCAAAGGCRAGTGCCAAGGGGATGGTGCCAGACTCTTTTCAGTGGTGTCCAGTGACAAGACAAGGAGCAATGGCAATAAACTAAAATGCAAGAATTTTCACTCAACATGAGAAAGAACTTCTTTACATTGAAAGTGGCAGAGCATTGGAACAGGCTTCATGGAGTGTCCCTCTCCACAGACTTTCAAAGCCCTCCTGGATGCATACCATCTGCTCCAGGTGACCCTGACTTAGCAGGGGGTGGGACAAGATCATTTCCAGAATTCCCTTCCAACCCTAACTATTCCGTGATCCACTGCAGGTCCCTTCCAACTGGAAATATTATATTACCTGACAACTTGAATTACTAAGCAATTATGCAATTTGGAATTGTAACACTGCATATTCAAAAAAAGACCAGCATGTGTGCAAATAAAACAGAATTGTAGATTAAAGTGAAAAGACCAGATAATGTCAACCCCCACCACATAGTGGTTTGCTATTTTGCATTTTGGGTTGGTTTTTTTTAACTTCAGTCAAAAGTTCTTCCTTTTGAAAAGAAATATACCCACAGACATAGAAAAGCATCTTCAGTTAAAAGGATGTAAATCTTCTCACACTTCTGAAATTACTGCAAAAAAACTGCTGGTCTTGCACAGCACAGAGTTAGTGGCATACAAAAAAATTAATAAAAGATCARTAATAGATCTTTCTGCTATTTGTGTAAAATATCATGTTTGTAACACAGCAAAAGATAATGAAAATGTTTCAAACCAGAAAAGTTCTCCTACAGCTATAAATACTGACAGATGAAAAATCAAAGAGATGTTACTTAGGAAGTTAGTTTTACTTGATCTCAAAATGCTCCATTTCTATTCAGCTGTATTACTCAGATACTAATGTAGAATAAAAATAGCTGATAGAAGAGAATAATGTGCTACAGAGGCCACATTTAATTCTTTTTCAGTGAAAATCTGAAAGGACAGCCCAGTTTTTATTCACAGCATGCATTTTCTCAAGGGAGATAAACTTTCTTTTCCTGATGACATTACAAAAATCCCTCTTCAGTCTGCTGTGAAATTAAAAGTTTCTAAGAAAAAGTGAAGCTTCTGAAATTTCAAATATATTTTTCATGCACACCTCCTTGCTGATTGAGACTCTGCATTTCCCTTTCTCTGCGATCTAGTTCAGCTGCTTTTCTTTCCAGTTCTTCTTGACGCTTTAGCAGTTCTGCCTGGGCCAAGGCATGCTCCTGAACAAAACAAACATCACTAGGTATTCATAAAAAGTATAAATACAGCGTAAATATTCCAAGACTTCTTGCTACAATTAAGCATCTCCAGTTATGAAGACTGACCAACAGAGAACAAATTAACATATTAACCAATTACTTAAAGGCAGTATTAATTTTCATTAAGAAAGCAATGCTTATTTACAAAATACATTATTCCAGTGGAGCATTTAATTCCATTAAAAGGAACCTAGTTCTGGTAAGTTGCAGACAAACCTTTGCTATCTGTGTGTAGGAAGATGGTTCTTCTGTTGGTTTCATTATTGCTGGCTGGGTACTGGGTACATTAGGCATTTTCACATTTCCTGGAGGAGCCTAAGAAAACAAAGGACAATTATAGGCAAACATTTTCCTATTCTAATAAACTTTTTTTCATTGTATCTGTAAGAACCAATCTAATTGTTTTAAACAAAGTGCCACTGATATAAACTGAAAACTTGATATTCTGTTTGCAATATTTACAACCTTTAGAAAAAGGACGTTCGACTGCATTCTCTGGTGTACATTATACTGTACTACCAATACACACTCAAGGAATTTTAGATTCAKTAAAAGGAATTTTAGTTTCATCAGACATGAATATTAATATAGACTGTTACTGTTTCAGAGAATTGCAGCATTTAACAGTCATCTCTTCCCATTCGGATTCTTTATTAATAATGTCTTCTACTTAACAAAGGCTTATATCACTTGGCTAACTAGAGAAGTAATGTACCATATTAAACTTTGAAATTCAAGATCCATCATCTATTGCTTGACTATTTCACCAATTTGTGCTAGGTATTACTCCAGAGTTTCTGCCAGGCTGACGCAGGTGTTAAGAATATAATGCCAGCAAAAGTTGCATTTCAGCCATTGTATTCAGAGGATACAGCCTGTTGCTGAAATGTAGTAGTATTTCTTTCATTAAGTACAGAAAAGAAAAAAGAAAAGGAAAAGAAAAGGGAAGGGAAGGGAAGGGAAGGGAAGGGAAGGGAAGGGAAGGGAAGGGAAGGAAAGGAAAGGAAAGGAAAGGAAAGGAAAGGAAAGGAAAGG